GGCCCATCTAAAGGATGGTGAGTAATTTCTTTGACTTGGTTGCATTTGTGAAGCTGGAACACAGGGTGTGTGGAGGGAAGTGGTGAAAAATGAAGCTCACGCTAGAAGCCACAACTATTTAAGCCACAGCAGTTCAAAAGAAGGGTTCCAAGTGCTCACAAGGAAAATTAATCTTCTTGCCAAATCTTTCCTGGTCCAACTAAGAAGTCACAGTTTTGATATTCTTAAACTTATTGGCATTAAAAACATTTCATTTAAACATAGAAAGACAAGAGCATTGAAACAGAAATATTAGCCCTGGAGTCAGACCATTCAACAAATGTTTGGGGTGGAGGAAATACAAAAATGAAGAAGACATGTTATCTGTTGTAAGAACATCAAGTTCCATTCCTAAGCCTGCCACCAGACAGCTGTTGACCTTGAAAAAAAATTCACCAAACTGCTCTGGGTGGATATTCTCATCTCTGAAATGAGAGGACTGGATCCATGAGCTTCTCACCAGCATTCTAAGGAATGTGTCCGTGAGACAAGAGCAAGTCTCTTAAAGAGCTCAAAACCAAGAGGAGAAGTGATAATCAGAAATGGCTCAGAGGCATCCAGGTTTACCAAGACTGATGGGAAATCCCCAGGAATTCTTGACATCCCCCCACATCCGCCCCAGCAGCAATGCAGGAAATCTCGTCCACTATCTTCAGCAGACTCAATGGAACCACTTCCTTAATGAAACCCCCTGCAGTTCCAGATGCAAAGCCAGAGGTTTTCCTTTCAAGCCCTCCCTCAATTGCCCCATTCCTCCCATTTCCTTCCCCTTCCTCAATCTGGTATAAAATCCAGTAATTTAATCAGCAGCTTGCAATTTCCAAAGCATTCAAGTGTGTGAGAAATCAACAATGATCCTGGAAAGCGTCTGGCAGGAGGATCTTGTCTTTCTTTACAAACCTCACCAGTCTACTAAGACCACATCTGGAAAAGAACGAACTATTCTCTTCCATGAAATCATTTAAACCCAATGCAACAGATGTGTTGAATGCCCTATAAGTAACTTATTACTTGAGAAAATAAGGCCTGGTGTTATTTCGAATGTCCCTTGCCTTCAAATAGCCACAAGAAGCATTCTGGGAAATTATGAGGTCTACCTGCCATCCAACAACTCTACAACTGAACCAAGAACCTGACTAACATGAGTAAGCTTCACATTTCATATCCATGTGCCAAGACAATTCCTCTTGCTTTCTCTTCATTCTCAAGCCCACTCGCATACATCTCAATTTAAAGAACTGCAAAAGTAACTTAATCTTATTTGTTTTTGCTTCGCAGAAATTCCCAGAACTGGAGAGCTAGTACAGCAGGTAAGGTGCTTTCGTTACATGTGGTAGTATAGTGGGAAGGTTCTTGCCTTGCACCCAGGTTCCATCCATAAAGTCCCCTAACCCCCACTTGGAGTGATCTCTGAGTACAGAGCCAGGAGTAAGTCCTGAGAACCTCTAGGGGTGACCTCAAAACTGAAAAATAAAATAAAATAAAAATTTCTAAGCCAGAGTAACCATTAGTTCTAACTTTGCAGTAAGATACATAACTTTCCTCAGTGACATCACAAGCATTGTATGTTTGGGGAGATGGTAATAAAGAACCATTTTTTAGAAGCATGTTTCTCCCCTGGAAAGTGTTTTGCACTTACATTCTTCCTTGTCACACTACTGAAAAATCTTGTCCTCTTACATACATCCAAAATAGATTTGCAACGTCTCAAAAGTATTTGATAAGATTAATAAAGTAGTTGATTGGTATGTTCTAAAATGACACATGTTCACATTCAAATTTACTACCCTTTTTGAATCATGAAATTTTATGATAAAGCTACTACTAGGTCAAATAAGTGAGCATTAAAAAACACACCCAAGGCATGCTTATGGGTTTAAAAGGACAGGTATCCTTAGGAAAGGTGATGTAACTAGAGTCATGCAGTTGAGTAATTCAGATAAGTTACTCTTCTGCTGGTTTAAAAAACAAAAGCAAGCTAATGACTGACTTGGACATCCTCTGACAACTGAGTTCTAACACTCACTAAAGACCAAGTTAACTGGTTGGTCAGATGCACTTTTCTAGTAAGAAAGAAATAATAGAATGTGATTATTGTAGCAGGGAGACCCAGTCTGGCAATGGTGTGTTCCTATGTGAAGAGGTGCAGGGAAAAAGTAAGACAGATACCAGGTTCAGGCTCCTTCTTAGAATCATTCATTGAACTTTGAGATTGGAATGGGGCCTTGGGAATAACCATCTACCTTCTGAATTTTACATGTGAAAAACAAAAAAAAATGACTTTGCTGTCACAAGAAAACAGACTATAATTTAATTTTCAACAGGAAAAGAAAACATAAAATAATCACAAAATAGTTGCAAATATCAAGGAGTCACAGTATAGTTTAGCTGCAACGTGATGGAAAATTATGGGACTGCCAAAAGTGCCAACTAATTAAAAGTCCAAATATACAATTCAATAAAAACGAAATCCAAAAGACTGTAGCTTCATTAATCTTGGAGGAAAAATGGGGGGGAACCCTCAAAATCTTAAAGTGATTATAAAACTATGGGAGATTTATTATATTCAATTTGGAGATGGGTATTACTTTCACGTACATTTTACTTCACTTTATATTAATAATGTGGCTTTTCCCTCACAAAGATGCACAAGTGAAGTTTTTCCAGTGAGTTGCATCAAACTGCAATATCTGCTTAGGGAGAAAAACTGGGTTTAAAATAAATGCATCAGTGAGTCCTCCATTCAAGAACTTGGCACCTAAAAAATAAGATTATCAGACTTTAAGACAAACTAGGACTAGCAATTCTTTTTTGGAGATCATGGCTGCTATATAGAGGACTTCAAAGTCTCAGAAAATTGTTGGCATCATTTTATTTGCTAGAATACTGGGAAGAATGTAAATAGCATACATTATTTTTTATGTATCACTAAACGTGTACTTTTGGGCAGACAGTCACAAAAGGGACACAGAGTTACTAACCGACCGATAGATGCTCAAAGGCACCTGAAGGGAACCAGCCTATGGTGGGAGCAAGCATACTGTTGGTAAATCCATAGGGTAAAAACCATCTATTTCTGGACATCACCCCACAGATATGCAATCCCTCACTCAGTTTTAAAGCCCTGGTGTATGCTGGAAAGCAGCAAATGACTGGTTGCATTGAGAAGTTTGTTAGTCAGTCCAAGAAAGGCAATTCACAAGGGCATGCTTGAAGGTCCAAATTGTAAAGGCTGATCCTGCATACCTGAACAGGGGGTAAAGGAATTCTGACCTGGCCAAAAATTTGTCTTTTCTTTCTAAACACATCTGTAAATATCTTTTAATCACGAAACAGCTCCAAGATTTCTGCCTGACCTAAGTAACATAAATCAAAGAGAAATCGCAAGAGGCTCTAACACACCCCTGAAAAACTAAAATTAATTTACTCCTAGTCCGAACTAAACTATACTTCACCAATCAACTTTTTGAAACAGAAATAAAAATGTACATATTTTAGGCAGCAAACTGCAATATAACATATACTTTGCCCTGGATGTTTTGAATTTACTGTAATTCGCTTAGGTTTACCTTGAACTTAACAGACCTCATCAAATTATTGAAATGTTCTGTGCAATTATATTTCAATATAAGTGTTAAGTGACTTTTGAGAAATCACACTTTTAGAATAGAAAAAACAAGTTATTCCATTCAATACAGTCGTTTTAGCGACGTTCTCAATTTAGAGCAAGTACTCAGACGTCAGGTTTTTTCCTGGTTTCTGGGCCTCCCCATCTAATCAGAACTCTTAGACTGACGGTCTATAGATTCGTCTGCCTGCAGAGAAAGAATGTTTTCATTGTTACAACCTTTTGGTTTTAAGAAGCATTTTTAAAAAGCAGAAGAAAACGCTCGGTCTTAACAGCCTTTTCTGTCCCGTGAGCTTCTGCAATAACTTACTTTATTTTTGCGTAAGTGCAATTTTTTTTTTTCATTTTTACCTATTCTTTGGGTGATTAAGAGAAAAGAACTCTTAAATCTGATTTTCCGTGCCCGGGGAACTGAACCAGGGAACTAGGTCTCCTAACTTCTTGGAGTCCCTAAATCCCTGAGATTTGAACACCCCGACACTGTAAAATCTGGGGTTGCCGCTGGTGGTCGGGCCGCGCGCCTCCCCGAGTGGGGGCACAGGCGCTCACAGCTCCGACGGCGACTGGGTCCCGGGCGTGCACCCGTCTTCGCCGGGAGTTAGAAGGGCAGGTGTGCGCTCCCGCTACCTAACGGTCCGGGACAGAGGTCGGCAATCCCGTCCGCCAGGTGGCCGCAGGTCGGCGCCCAGAGAAGGCCCTCTCGGAGACCGAGCTGCGGGAAGGCGGCGAAGCTTGGGGCTATCCCGGGGGACAGTGACGCCCGGAGTCCCAGGAGGGCCAGGACGGGCCAACAGCCGCGCTCGCCCGCTCCGGGATTCCGGGGGCTTCTGGCAACCCCGTGCCGGGAGAACCGACCCTCCTTCAGCCCTATCGAGGCGCGAGGGAGTGGGGGAACTGGGTTCCAACCTCGCCCGAGCTCGGAGCCTCGGTCCTGTGGGGCCGGGTGTTCGGGAATGATTCCATGGCGGGGCCCGTCGCCCCGCTCCAGGAGGGTGCAAGGAGGCTCTGGGGAGCAGGTAAAGCCGGGTGCGCAGCGCTCCGCAAATGCAGAGCCGGGACCCAGAGCGCCGAGTCGTGTGTGTGCGTATGCGTGTGCGTGTGCGTGTGTGTGTGCGCGCGCGCGCGCGTGTGTGTGTGTGTGTGTGTGTGTGTTGGGGTGAGTTTTGGATGTCGGGGGGGCCAGGCAGGGCGACCGAGAGAGACTCCAACCGTGCCCAGGAGCCACCCCGCGACGCCGGCGGACGGTGCAGGAGAAGGGGCGCCACGGCTCCCCCCGCCCGGCGCACGCGGCTTCCCCCGGCCGCAGGGTGCGCGCCCCAGTCCCTCGCCTCACCTGGGAGCCGCAGAAAGGCGAGCAGCGCGCACAGCAGCGCCCCGGCGTCCCCGCAGCTGCGCATGGTGAGCGCGACGCGGCCTGCTCCCCGGTGGCCGCCGACCCCGCCGCCCCAGCCGCTCCTCTCGCGCCGCGTCCGCCGCTCCGGCCGCCGAGCCCGCCACGTCCCGGCGTAATCCTCGCAGCCCCGCGCCCGTCCCGGAGCCCGCTCCGAGTCGCCGCTCCTGGAGGCTCAGCACGGCGCGCCCCGGTCCTCCCCGCCGACGGACCTCGCTGCCGGCCAGCCGCGGGCCGGGGCGATTTATAACCTTTCCCCGGCCCACTTCCTACCCCGGCACCTCCTTCTAGTGACGTCAAGGGGTCCCCCACCCCTCATCCGCCTCCCCACCTACTTTCTTTCCTCCTGGATCCGATTCCCCGCGGCTCCCCAGAGGGGCGGGCGCCACTGTGGGGGTCGGCGGGCAAGTGCGCGCCGGGGGAGGCGCCCGCCACGCAGCCTGCGGGCGCGGCGCCGGCAGGTTCAGGGTCCTGGTCCCCGGGTCCCCTCCTCCTTCCCCGAGCCCCACCGCCGGGCTCCCGGGAAGCGGCCGCGCCCCGGCGCCGGGGGTCGCGGGCACCGCGGAGAGAGGCGCATAGTCCCTCCCGGCTCCGCACTGCGCTCCCGCTGCCCGCCACCCCGGGGAAGGCGCCGCGGACCCTCGGCACCGAACCCGGGACCTGGGGCCCGGAGCTTGCAGATGGGGCCGACTTGGCACCTTCGTGGGGGCCGGCGAGCCCGCGCGGGTACCCGGGGAGCGCCGCTGTGTCTTTCTCGGCCACCCAGATGCTCCCGCCCGGCATTTCCCAAAGGGCTCCTGCAACTTGTGAAGGGCCGAGCACTTGAACTTTATCTCCTGCAAGCAAAGGGAAAACACATTTTTTTACAAAATTATTCCTGGCGGCAGCGTGCTAACGCCAAAGCAGCGACTCTAGTGCTTTTCGAACAAAGCCGAGTGAAATGCACTTAAGGCTTCTGGTCGTTGGCGATGTCCCTAAAATGAACGTTGGTTCTCATGAATTATCTCCCTTTTAAGGGCTGAAATCATCCTGGGCTCCATTCAGCGGCCCGCCTGTGTCCACCAACGCCGCTGAGTTGGGGTGGGAGGTGGGCGTAGGGGGGAGTGCAAGGTGCCAGAATGAAAGGATAAGGAAAGCGATGACTCGTGAATGCGGCTAGCGACCCTTGTAGAGGGACCGCACTACCTCGCACCCCTGCGGGTCGGGCCATTAAGTTGCCGTACCAGCTGGCGGCAGAGGCCGGAGAGGTCTCTGCTCCCTGGCGTCCGCGCGCTTGGCCTCAGTCCCTGGAGATTCCGAAGAAAAGCTGGCCGAGCTCTGTCTACTTTCCCAGCCCGAGCCCTTCGCCTCTCTCCCTGGCTCCACCTGCCCGTCTTGCCCAAGCCTGACTCCTACGGAAACCACAGGATCCTTCCTCCGGGACAATAAATAGGAAAACGGCAGGGGCGCAAGCGAATCCTTCTCGCATCTGGTCCCGCCCAGCCCTGGTATTGAGACCAGCCCGCAGAGTCCAGGGATCCCACTTCTTCTCCCTAAAGAGAAATAAATCAGGGTCTTCCTGAACACTCGGGGGAAGGGGGGCGTATAGAGGGGGCAAGAGGAGGGTGGGTGCGAACACTGCTTTCAGACAAAAAGCGCCAGTGGGGATTAGCGCTGCCTTCTTTGTGACTTTGAATCTGTTTTTATTTTGGTTTGGGGCCACACCCGGCAGTGCTCAAGGCTTACTCCTGGCTCTGTACCCAGGGATCACTCCTGATGGTGGTATTCAGGGGATACTATGGGATATCAGGAATGGAACTCGGGTTAGCAGAGTGCAAGGCCAGTGCCCTCCCTGCTGTCCTATCTTTCCCGGGCCCCCCAGACAGAATCTGCAGGAAGGTTAGGACCAGAGAAGGATCCCAGGGCCGGGAGCTCGGTCCACTTGCAGATGGACCAAGGGCTCCTATTCAGGACACTTGGCTCCTGACGCTGGGGCGAAGGGCCCCGCAGCATCCCTTCCAACGGGCAATACAATTTTCTAGTGCTTTTTGGCTTTTTAAACATAAACCTGCAATTCTCCACCTGCCTGCAGTCAGAGTGGAGTCTTCCTGGGATGATCATAATAATTAAAATGCCAGTCAATACTAATATATTGCTCCTTGACTTAAGGTGAAAGAAGTCCCAGATGTGGGGAAAGAATGATGATAGTACGTCAGGTAAGGCAATTGCTTTGCATGTAGTCAACCTGGGGTTCAAACCTTGGCTTACCATTTGGCCCCCAAGTAAACTCTGAGAACTACTAAATATGGCCCAAAAAATAGACAACAATGACAATTTTATAATCAATTAATGAGTCCGGTTTACTTAATTTGCATCAAAATGTCTGCATTAAGAACTGTCCTCCATTCTTTATTCTTTGCAAAAGCTCTTGGTTCTTATATCCGCGGCCTCAGACATCCTAACAGTACTCCTTTCCAAATTGTTCTGCCTTACCATCCACACAGAGAACTCAAGATGCTTCAAGTTGTTGTATAGATTTTTGTCTGTGATTTCAGTTTTACTTGTTACATCTTAGCATTTAGGTACAGGAATATGGGCTGGAGAGAGAATACAGTGAGTAGGGCACTTGCCTTAAATGTGCACAAGCTGGGTTCCATCCCTGATGCCATGTATATGGTACCCCAAGCCTGGACAGGAGTGATTCCTTTGCACAAAGCCAGGAGTAAGCCTTGGGTATAGCCGGGTGTGGTCCAAAAACCAGAGAGAGAGAGAGAGAGAGAGAGAGAGAGAGAGATAACACCTTTGAATAAGAATGAGCTACAGTGCTCTTCTAACTAAATCAGCATGGAAAGAGGTTTTTATAGATAATAGTGATGAAAAAGATCAATTTCAACATGCCTGTGGGTATAAAAAGCCATTGAAGTAGACTATCTGCCGCTTCCTGCTCACATACAAAAGAACATTTCATCTCCTGCAAAACCAGACACTCTCTTGTTATCAGCTGCAAACATTCTCTTGAGGATTCTTTCTATCCCCTATTCAGAGTCACACTGTTGGTAAAACCAACCGCTTTAATATTTGAGACTGCATAACACTGTGGGAGCATGAGTGTGAGAGACAGGAGAGAATCCAGGGCCTCTTCTTCACAATGGACCAAACCGGAAGTTGTCCAGCTCACAGCACTGTGACACCATCAGGAATTTCATGTCAGCACGGGTTTAGGTGACTCTTGACCAAAGGAAATCAGTCCAATATACTATAGCGCATACATATGTATGGTTGGTTATAAAAATCAGTAGATTTTTATAAAACTGTTGAGTTAGATGGAAAAAAATGTTACTATACATCTCTACTTGACTGGCTCCTCTGTCTAAGAAGAATCACATGTTACAAATAGCAAGTTCTGCTGAGTTTTTGAGTTTGTGGCTTGATTTGTCGGATGCTGCTGAATTCTGCCACCACTCTTTAGGGGCTCCTGGGTTTCTTTGTTTTTGCTCTACAAATTCCCTCCTGTCCAGATTCCTTGCACCCCACATAGGTTGATGCTGCTGCTGTTAATCTCTTTTGTGTTTATTTGGAGTTACAGCTTATTTTTGAGGCTATGTGTTCCAGCTCTGGACTCCTACTTAGCTCTGCTCCTACGTCTGCTCCTACGTCTGCTCCTCAGGGCCTATGGCATAGATAGTGTCCTAAGTCCATCTGTTCCTGCAACTCAGATCAAAGGAGCCTTTTCTTTCTGTTATTTCATACCATGTGCTCTTAAAGACCTTTACTTACTTAAAGACCTTAATCTTCATTAAAACCCCTATGGCTTTTTCACCAGTTGTGGTCTGGCTGTACTTTTATAGTCATAGCTTTTGACCACTCCAACTGTTGGTCCAAATAAACTTCTTGTTTGGTTTAGTCCACTTTCCTGGACTGCTGAGATCCTTCGGGTCTGAATCTGCCAATCGGTACATTTTCTCTATCTGTTACTTCAAATCATGCACAGGAATGCTGAGTGCGCCTTACCGGTCCTCAGTAAAATCCCCCCCAGATGGTGCTGAATGAATGAGTCAATGACTGAATGAATGAAGAGATCTGTAGAAGTTAAATCAGAGAAGAATTTGACATGTTTCTTTGTGTTATGATCACTAGATTTATGTGTAAAAAGAGAGTTAATATATACAACATTTACCATGTCATTATTTAGAAATAGTTGATGGTCTTAATGAGGCAGGTAAGTTTTATTCAAAGTACTCTAGGAAGGTTTAAAAATAGAAAAAAAAATGTTAAAGCCCTGAAAGATAGAGAAGCTTAAAATAGATGAGAAGGCAAAACAGAGAAGGAAACATGTTTTATATATATGTATATATATAATGTATATATAATGTCACTTATGATTTGTCATCCCATTGTTCATCGATTTGCTCAAGCGGGTGCCAGTAATGTCTCCATTCATCCCTGTCGCGTGATAGTGTAGCCCAGTGGCGTATTGGGGGCTCTTTCAGGCTCAGGGAAATGAGATCCACTGTTGTTACTATTTTTGGCATATCAAATACATCACGGGTAGCTTGCTAGGCCCTGCCATATGGACGGAATACTCTCGGTAACTTGCCGGGCTCTCCAGAGGGATGAGATGAGATTGGCCATTGATGAGATTACATGGCACTGGGGGCAGTTTGTGGATGTGACTGCCAAGCTACTGGAAAACCGGGGATCTGGGTGTAGGAGGCCCAGTCCTGATCAGAGCAGTGTATATATATTATGTGTTATGTTTATATATATATAGTAGTGTTTGTTCAGCCAGAAAGGGCACTTGCCTTGCACATGACCAATCCAGTCTAACACCTGACACCCTTATAGTCCCCTGATCACAGAGCCAAGAATAAATCCTGAGTACTGCTAGGTGTGGCCCAAATAACCAGGAATAAAAAAGTACTTGGCTAAGGAACTCTGCATAAGTTAACTGATGGTTAATATTTTTAAATAATATTTTAAAATAGTTAATATTTAAGTTTTAAGATTAATTATTATTTCAGAATGTGTCAGCTATTGCCTTACATAAAAGTATCATCTTACCTTTAATGCATTTTATCATGGTTAACATAGTCTTTTAGTTATAAAACAGTTGACACAGATGAAAGATGGGAAAGGGCAAGAGAATTAATCATAATTATCTCCTTCATAGTCAACGTGATCACTTTGGTATATTTCATTTTAGTCTTTTTTTGTATCATGCTTTTAGTTTTCTGTATTACTATACATACTTCATAACGTCTACATAATAACTGCAAGGTACCACACTGCTAGATGATTCAATTTTGTCATTTTAAGTAATTCCAAAATAATTTAAACTTT